CATATATGCCCCAAACACCTAGCTTAGTACCTGGGATGAGTTAACTTTTGTTATTGATCAAAGGTACAATTTTTAAAATGGCTTGTGATACTAGTACCAAATTAAGTTCCTCGTGATGACTTCTAGTACAGTCAACAGGTCACTTCATCTTCCCACTTTGATATAAATTGACCCCTTTACATGGTACACTAAGTGTCAGTCATAGTCAATCTCTTTTTGGCATTAAAGGCTGTCTATGGAGGGACAAATTTCTGCTGCTGCTTCACAGCTTTTAAAGGTGTCCTGATTTTCTAGTTCTTTCTTCTGCTGAGCCCTGAAACTACCTCCTTGAATCCCTCTAAAAGTGCCTCTCTAGCTGCTGCTACTTACCTTTCCTGTTAGATTACTTTGCTGTGGAAAATATATCAAAGTTATTGACAAAAGGTAGAAAATGAAGGCAATACTAGAAAGCATGAAGACAATAAGATCATACAAAATGAGACCAAAGTTAATATTTCCATTTATGTGCATGTACAAGTACATATATGCACACAACTTTACATAAATAATATAAAAATAGTATTCTTAATGGAAGGCAGAGAGATCTAGTATAAAGAAGCTTGACTCAAACAACTTGGATGCAAATCCTATTCCAGCTCTGCCATGTAATTGTGTGACCTTGAGCAACGTACTTAGCCTAAGACTCACTTTTTCTCATTTATTAGAAAAAGGGCTAACAATGCCTATCTCTTAGGGTTTTGAGGGAGGATTGAACAGACACTCAATAAAAGTACAATTATTTTCCCTCCCTCTTTTTTTTTTTTAAGATGATATTCTATACTTTATTATTCATTTAACCATTAAATATAAAGTTTCTAAAAGTTAGACACTGAAAAGTATTTGAAAATAAAATCTTATTCAGTAGTTAATAACATAAAAACATCACTGAAGGTTTTCCTTTAAAAAAAGCTTAATATTAATATGTATAAAAATTAGTTTGTTCAAATAAGAATCTAAATAAGACCCACACATTACAATTGTCTGCTACATCTCTAAAGATCTTTTTAATCTATAGGTTCACCTTCAATGCCCCTTTTTTTACCATTGGAATTTTTTTAATAAAACTGCATTTTTTGCCCTGGTTGGATTTCCTGTGCAGTCCGGATTTTTTTTTTTTATTTCAGCATACTATGGGGGTACAGATGTTTAGGTTACGTATGTTGCCCTTGCTCCCCCCTCCCCCCATTCCCTCCTTCTTAATAATCTTCACTTTGACCTTGATATTGGAGCCCTTTCCTAGAGTCTACTACTAAACAATGCTTTCCATCTCATAGTATCTGACTGCAAGTATCTGGAGCACAGAGACTGTATCTTATTAAATCTTGAAGACTAGCACTCAACAACATTTAGGTGTTTAATATATGTTGGCTAAGTCAATGAGGTCCTAGGGAGGGTTTGCTTATGGAATTGTTCACCTAAATAAACTGCATCTCATATTATATATACTACTTCATTATTAAACCTATCTATATTTCTTCTATTTTTTTTTGAGATGGGATCTTGCTATGTTGCCCAGACTGGTCTTGAACTCCTGCGCTAATGAAATTCTCCTACCTTAGCCTCCCAAGCAGCTGGGATTACAAGTGCACACCACTGTGCCCAGCTCATTTTTCTTCTAGTTTCTTCTAGTTTCAATTATAAATGCAGCAAAGTGATTCTGAGCAAGTCACTTTATCACTCTAGTGTGTAGATTCTTCATTTGTAAAAACAGAATAGCTTCCCTTCCTATTTTACTGGATTGTTGTGAGGATCAAATAGAGTACTTCATAAATGGAAAGTGCTATACAAATACTTATTACTACAGAATGTACAAAGCCATTTCATTGTGCACTTTAATTCCCATGCATTATCTTGTAGAATGCTCACCAACTGTTTTCCCTATTACACTACTCACCCATTCTGTATCACCTAGCTTTTCTACATTAATATCTTTTTCTAATCCTTTGGTTTAGAATCACTGATTCTACAGGGGACCATCTGAGGAAACTAATGTGTTATCCATACTAGGGGGTGTGTTCACAACCAGGTACACATAGTATACGGCATTAAAGCTTTACACTAAGATAAAGCAAGATATATCAGGAGAGGTAGAGACTGTGTGCATGAGAGGTATGCAATAGGGGATAAGAACAAGAGATTTGAATTCTGGTTCTGCTGCTTTAGTTTATGGATCTTGAGTAGGTCAGTAAACCTCTCTGGGCCTCAGTTTCCTCATCTGAAAATCGGAGGTGATAACTTACTTCATAGGATTGTTAATAAATTTAAGTGAGATGGTTTGGGTGAAGCCTGGTACAGTGTAAACACCCAATAAATGTTAACTATTACAATTACTATAAACTGATAAGTGGTTGACAGCCAGTGAGCAGGTAAAGAGTGGGTCTGAAAGTTCAGAGAACCTTTGAACATTAGTTTGAACAGTTCTGTATTTTCTCATAAACTTCTCCTCCCTAAAGTCCTCATTTTAGACTGAAATACACTTTTTTCACTCTAAAACTCCCCCCTCCTTGGTCACATTTGTTTTTAACAGCACTAGCTTAAAATATTTGAAGGCAGCAATAGTAAAGCTACTAATCACATCCTTAAGGTAGACTATTTTTATACCTATTACATACAAAAGAATAGCCATGTTTCCAAATTGTACAAGCTAAACATTTGTTATTTACATTCCAGCTGGTATAATTGGGAGTAGGGATGGGAAGTAAAAAAGGCAAGATGTAAAGCTTTGCCTGAAAGCATTTTAGAGAACAGTGGCAAAGGTCTTTCAAAATAGTATGGAGAGGCATCATTCAGATGACAAAGTTGCCAAGCACTGTTTGCTTTTAACACTCTTTACCCTCCCCCATAGCATCCAGTGACCTGATGCTCTCTTTTAATTGCAAAGAACAAGAGCCTCTATCTACAACTCTTGGGCTATAAAACCTATGCACAGGTTTGAGATTACAAATGAACTGTTAGCCACATCTACCTGCGGATGTTTCTTAGTTTGGCCTGCAGGGCTTGAAATATTGGTTGCTAACATTTAAAAATCCAGAGATTTCACACAAAACTCCAACTTGAGGGTTTCTCGGGGTCGGGGGGAGAGAGGAAAGCTCTTTCAGAACACTGGTCCCACATTCCTGAAGGCAAAAATCTGCTAGAGCTGAGCAGCTGCTCCCTTTAGTTATGGCATGGATATTCCAATTTGCTATATTCCCTATCATTCCCCATTGTCTTAACGCTAGGGCAGTGCCACTCATTTCCTTTGTCTGGCTTCTGTAGACATCTGAGTCTGCAAAATCCTATCTAGACCTTTTCTGTCTCCCATCAAAGCTTACTTTGTTTTGTCCCAAGTCCCTCACCAATTTTTCAAAGCAACAGCTAGGTAATCTGATCAAGTATGGGTGCTTTTACATGTGCTTTCTGGAGATAGCATCTTAAGATAAAGAGATGACTCTGCAGGTAGAAATTACAGGCACCACAGGATTACAATCAGGATGGCAACTGTCCATTCTACTTTCTCTGATATCCTGACGTAGCCATACCTCACTGTTCTCAGAAGACCAAAGGAATTGGTTCTCTGGTATAACAATGTATACTGCCCTATGGATGAAACCTACTCAAACACCACTTTTATAGATCACCCTACTTCCAAGAGACCCAAAGCTACTATGGGCTATTCTGACTTCCCGTTTCCTCGGAGGCTTCAGGATATCCGGCCTGACCGCATTTCCCCTCACCTGCTTTCGGGGCCCGTTTTGCGCTGGGCGGTCGCGCCCAAGGAGCGCGCGCATCCAACATGAGCTCATTTCTCAGGGGCGTTTCCAGAGGCCCGGCCTGGCCGCGCGCACCAAGCTCAGCGGGCCTCACTCTATCAAAGGCTCCCTCGGCTGGGCGGGGCGCAGACGCCCCGAGGCGCAGCCTCTCTGCAAGCTTTGTTTCCATTTTAGCGTCTGAGAGCTTGTACCCGCCTGGGGAGCCCCCCCTTGGTCCATCTGGCCCTTCTGGGGAAGAGGCCGATACCCGGACGCGCGATCGCGGGCTGAGGGGAGCCTAGGGCGCGCACAATTAGCCGCGCCCCGCCGAAAGCCTCTCGTGGGTGGGGAGAGCCTCGACCCTCTGGCTCGCTTGAGCACTCAGCGCCCTGTCCCGCCGACCGCAGCAGTTTCGGACCGGCTGCCCGAAGGGCCCGCGCTCCCTATCTGCGGTTTCCACACCAGCTGGAAGCAGCCGCGGGCGAACCCGTCAGACCATCCGCCACGATCCCAATCGAGCTTCTCCCCGCTTCTGGGACTGGAGGCCGGAGGCCAATCACACTGCAGCTAGGTCTTGCGATTGGACAGCACTGAGTGCCGATTGGCCACCGCTACGGGTTTCGGCCTCCCTCCCTTTCCTTTTGCCTCTACTCCAGTTCCTGAGCTTCAAGCCAATGAGACGGCGCTTTATAGACGCCCTCCCTTCGCTTTATCCTTCTCCCCGCCTTGGCGAGGGAAGAGAGGTCCTGACTGGCAGACTGTCCTCGGAAGCCCCCTTCCCTTCACCAATCACCGAGGGAGGTACACTCCCAGCGGAGTTCTCCAGCCAATTACAAAGCGGCCGCGGCGCCCAGCCGTGTAGTTTCACCAGCGACTCCTGGTTTCACCGTCCTTAACTCTTCAAGCTTTTTCGTGAGGGACGGCGACTCTGATTGGCCACTGTTGCCATTGTCGAATTTCTCCTCCAGCCAGCCACAGAACAAGGCGAATTCACCTTCTTTCCGTTCGTCTTCCTTCGGCATTTTCCGTTTCTTGGGCGTGGTTTCCCAGCAATACTTTCTAATTGGTTTCTCAGGCCGATCGGCTTTTTCCGGGAGGAGCCGGAAAAAAAAGCGACGTCCGTGATTGGCTCTATTTGGGCTTCGGCTCCCCAGCCGAAGCGGGCGGGCGCGGGGCTCGGCCGGCGATTCCCAGACGCCTGTTACGCGGGTGGCGGGGCGCTGGGCGGTGTAAGGCTGGGTGGGGGAGGGAGGAGGCGGAGGACGAGTAGGAGGGGGGAGGGGGAGTGGGGAAGCGCCAGGCGGCTGCGCAGACGGCGCTCCTCACACAGAGCAGCCCCCGACCCGGGCGAATGCGGGCTTGTGCCGCCGCCGCCGCCGCCGCCGCCGCCCGGGCCGAGTGACAAAGGAAGGAAGGAAGCGAGGAGGAGCCGGCCCCGCAGCCGCTGACAGGGCTCCTGGCTGGGGCAAAGCGCGGACACTTCCTGAGCGGGCACCGAGCAGAGGCGAGGGGCGGGAGGCCGGCCTCGCTGGTGCCGTGGGCGGGGGAGAGGGCCCCGAGGGACGGAAGCGGTTGCCGGGTTCCCATGTCCCCGGCGTATGGGGAGCAGTCGAGGAGCCGCTGCCTGGGGTCTGAAGGGAGCTGCCTCCGCCACCGCCGCCGCCATGGCCGCTGGATCCAGCCGCCGCCTGCAGCTGCTCCTGGCGCAATGAGGAGAGGACCCGCCGCCGCCGCCGCCGCCGCCAGCCTCTGACTGACGAGCGACTCTGTCGCCCTCCAGTTCGCCGGGCCCCCGCCGTCAGCCCGCCGGATCCCGCGGCTGCGGGAGCCGCAGCGTTTCCCGTCGCATCTCCGAGCTACCCCCTCCCTCTCCCTCTCCCTCCCTCTTTCCCATCCCCCTTTCTCTTCAAGCGTGAGACTCGTGATCCTTCCGCCGCTTCCCTTCTTCATTGACTCGGAAAAAAATCCGCGAGGAAAATATAATATTCAAAGTACTTATTTTCAGTCAAGTATTTCCCCCCCCCCCGCTTAACGTGATATATTTTTGTTAGGATTCCCCCTCCCCCTTTCTCTTCTCACGAAAGGAAGGGGAAAGAATTGTATTTTTCTCCATCCCCAAATCATCTATATGTTAAATATCCGTACAGATCTGTCTTGAGGGAGAAATACACCGCTCGTTTTTTTTTTTTTTAATAGTATACAAAAGGAGTGAAAAGCCAAGAGGACGAAGTCTTTTTCTTTTCTTTTTTCTTGTGGGAGAACTTAATGCTGCATTTACCATTAACCTAACACCCCAACATAAGACAAAAGGAAGAAAAGGAGGAAGGAAAAGGTGATTCGGGAAGAGAGTGATCATGTCAGGACGGCCCAGAACCACCTCCTTTGCGGAGAGCTGCAAGCCAGTGCAGCAGCCTTCGGCTTTTGGCAGCATGAAAGTTAGCAGTGAGTATTGATTTTATTTTGCACCCTTTCTCCACCTCACCCTTAAAATTAGAATCCTCGAAATACCAGGATTTTAAAACATTAGACCCCCTGGTACAGCAGTCAGTCAGAGGTAATGGAAAAGGGCAAAACCTGTCTTCAGTCAAGGATGAGGCAGCTCCCTCTTTTCGCTCTCATACCCCCTCCCCCAGTCTCATTAACCTTGAATTGAGAGAATATGATGTTTATTTAGATGATTCGATTTGAAACTTATTTCTTATACTTTTCTTGCTGTTGGTAGTCAGCTTTATCAAGTGCTTGAGTGTTTCCACGTTAAGACAGTGGATGAAAGTATTTAGAATGAAGAGAACAGGACTGGATTGATAAGCCATTATGTACATTTGCAGAGTATATCTTTTGGAATGAGGGAGAATATTTTAGTTAGCTCGGGTCTCAGTGGTTATCATAGTTTGGTATACTTAATAGAGACATTAAATGTGCCACCCTTCTAACATTTCTTTCTTGCCTGTGTGACTATACAAAATATTTTTTTCTTTATCTGGGGATGAACTTGCTCAGTAACCAGCATTCACATGTGGAGGTGAGCATTGATTTCTCCCTTTACGAGGGGCCGGGAGCCGATAAATATCCAGCAGCGGCAGTAGCATCTCTAAATGCATTGTCTTCAATTGGATAAGTGGTCTGATGTGTTATCTCTTAACCTTCCTGTTTTGACATTACCAATCTGCCACCATATAATTTATGTTTAATCAAGAGGTAACTTGGAAATAGGTCCAAGTTTTGATTGAGGTTTGTATTGTCATCGTGCCAAATACTAAGTATAATGTTAATTGTCACTGACTCATTGTCATTTAAGTTCAATTTTGGGATGCCATTGCATTCATTACTTGTTAAATGTTCTAAAGTACAGGGGGTTCCTTTTTAGGACTATTTAAAATACTCTTGCTTTAGTTTTAGTCACATTTAGATAAGACATTTAGCTATAAGAATATGGGTTTAGTACTTTCCATCCCAGCTTTTGCAGAAGGCTGTGCCCTGGAAATAAGAGGGTTATTTGGGTTGTGTTCAGGGTTGTCGCTGGACTGTACTCTTGTCCTGAATTTGTGCTGAAAAGTGCGTTCTTGAGGTGTTTGGTATACTAAGTATCTAATGTTGCAATGTATCTCTATTTGTGGAAGTGTTTATGTGGTATTTAATGACAGCTTATTTGAATATACTTCCAGAATTTGACAAAAATATATATATTGTTTCCTTATTCTCTGAGAAAGGGTTATGATGAGAGTGAAGACGAACTATTTTGTTGCCTAGAAGAATTGAGAGAAGTGAAGAATTGAGATTGAAAACAACACCAATAAAAACCAAACATATATGTTGTTATATGAAATTGATTATATCCTTAAGCAACATAAAATAATCACTTTAATTGAACTCAGGATTTCAATTCATGTTAGCTTTTGGAACTTGTCTGAAACAAGGTAGTCCAAGGTAATAGCTGAATGGGAGATTATTTTTGAAAGTTAAAAAAAATTTTGGTGACTAGCTAGTGGAGAATGCAGGGTATGTGAAGAGGGAAGCTGATTATGCATCTTTCAGGGAAGGGTCACGCTTTCGAAGCACTTCAAGGGGTCATTTGAAAGGAATATTTTAAAATTCTGGGGTAATTTTCAGCTATGATGAAGCAAATCTGATAATAGCTACTGAAGAGCCTCTTGTGGTACTGGAGTGTTTGTATGTTTTACATCTTGGTAATATAGTTTAAAAACCACTCAAAATGAGTTTTAAGTAATTGATTTATTAGATTTATTTCAAAGACCTATAATGCTAGATTATAGTGCTAAATTTTGGAACTTTTCATTTTGTTTCCCGGATTTTCTTTGAAAATGACTCAATTCTTGATAGTATACGTGTTGACTGAGGATGTAGTAACTCTTGTATATAGATTAAAATGTTTAATTTTCTATTACCATGTATATCAACTTACCATTTAAAAAATTGGAGTTTAATGCTAATTATGTGTTTTTAACTACCTTGACTTTAGAGACATTTAAAAGAAAGGGGAATTGTTAAGCATTTGCTAGGGTACTAGTATTCTAAGGGACCCCTGTTCAAAACAGAGTCACATAAAATAGGTCTCAAAAGCTTATCATTTAGTTGTAGATGTGGACTATGAGAAAAAAATATTAAAACAACAGCTTGATGACTGAAGGATTATAAAATACAAATTGGATCCTTTGTTCAGAGGGACAAAGAATAAAGGGGTGAGACCAATGGGTTGGAGAGGAAGGACTTCCCACAGAGAAGGTGTTTTAAGACTGGTGTTAAAAAGAAGGCTGTAACTTGAACTGATGGAGAAGCTTGAAAGATTCTAGATGGAAGGAATGTACAGAGGTACAGAGATGATGAGTTTTGTATGGGAGGCAACAAACAACTTGGTAAATCTGAATTAAAGGGGCCTAAATAGGAAAATAAGAAGAGAGGAATTTGAGAAATATGGAAAGTTTAGCTGATTGAGGGCAGAGGGGTTCTACAAAAGTTTGGTTGAGATTCAAAGGATATCTGGACTTACTGTAGGTTGCTGAACAAGATATTTAAAGATGATTTTGGCAGCTGAATTGATGGATTAGAGTGGAGAGATGTTAAAACCCTTTTAGGGAGTTAGTGGCATATGATGTGAATCATGGGGAAATAAAGTAAAATGTGAAGATGGGATGAAAGGAACAGATTTGAGAGACGGTGTGAATGAAGAACTGGCAGGATTTTGGATTGGAGTGAGGGGGAATATTTGTGAAGGAGTCAGGAGTTAAAAATAAATTCTGATGTTACTGGTCTGGAAGACTTGACTGCTGAGTTATATTGTTAATTGTAATGGGAAAATTGAGAAAGTGCTGAGATGAGAGGGTAGATGAGTTCACTTTTTAAAAATTTAATATACAATAGGTTCCCTTGAAATTCAGTACATAGCAGTTACTGGCAATGATATTTCACTTTCCAGTTTATTAATTGCACAGTTTCTAATTTTTCTCCACCTAAAAATATTGGATTTATATTTGGGAGCAGTAAACTAAGGGTTTTTATTTCAATACTTTATTCATTAAAGTCCTAAAACAAAATAATTTTTGTAATAATTTTATAATAATTATAATAGTTTCATGGTAGTGTATTTGAAAACAATAAAAATATTTTTGGGCTAAACTGTTACTTAAACATTTTAGATAGTTCATATAGATAGCCTTTAATTTACTCTTTGGTACATACTTAAAACTTGTTTTTCGTAAGTAATGATTATTCTTGGGTAAAACTTTTGTTATTTGAAATAATAATGATAATATAAGAGGTTTCTCTTTGTGAAGACTCCTGCAGAAATTAAAAGCTGATTTTATGACACATAGTTTTTTTTTTTACCTTTTTTCGTTGAGTTAAGGCAGTTATCTCAAGTTTAAATCAGTATTTTTGAAATACTTCTTTTTACTTTATGTGATCAAAATGATGTTTCCTTTTTGTTCACATCCAGGTTTACGTGTTATTAAATAAATGTTAATAACTATGCAGTTCCTTCTTTAGAATTGCATGATAATTTACTCAAAATAGAGAAAATAAAGGAGGACCATCTGTGGCAACTTTGGTTAAAATATAGTAATTTTTGTGGTATACTGTTGGAGAAAATTTAGCTAAGTGCTAAAATGCTTAAATATAAGATTTGGGGAGATGAAAATAAGTCAATGAGTATCACTTAAGTTGTTTACTCATATAAAATATTTTAGATTAAAATTTTTATTAGTGAAGAGAGAATAATTAACAGTAGCTACATATTATTCTGCAATATTAAGTAGTGTAGTGATTTAAACCAAACAGTATGTACCAACTTAAAGTCCCTGTATTGTCCAGGGAAGTTTAATCTCTTTGTGATGTCTAAAAATTAGATTATTAGGATTTAGCCAATTTCTTGATTATCTTTGGAAAACAGCTCATGTGTGAGACAGAAAACCAGAACCTTATTTTCATTCATTTCCCAACCAGATTTGCCCGGAGTTGTTAAAGTACTTATGATGTTCATACAAGAGTTACATGCTCTCTTATTGCGTGTACCTGTAGAATGCTAATTGTGAAATGACAAGGAAAAACTTAAAGGGAAACCGAGAGATTCACGAATCAATTTATGGCCGATTGGGAACAGCATTTAGAAAATAAGGTGACAGTTTCTCATTTCACCAGCAAAGTGCAGATGAAAATCAGTACTGGACCATGTGCTGTCAGTCCCTTGTATTGGACTTGGGCTGCAGGTGTGAGATAGTATTTTGGAGAAACATCAAGGCTGGAAAAGCCAGAGATTTTGTAAGTGCCAGCAGCAGATTCCAAGATTGGGGAAGCTCTATTTTTGTGTGCACTTTATGCATAGAGAAGGCTGTGAAGCATGCATATGTTGACCCTGGTGCCACAGTTCCATATTTATTTTAAATAAGACTCAAGGGGTTTGAAACAGGGATGAGGATGGGCAGGATGAGAGACTGTGGTGTTTCTTGGGATGCTCCGCCCTACAGTGGAGAATGGAGGGGCAGAGCACGTGGGCGTGACAGGATTGTGTGCTGGTGCTAACAGGACCAACCTGATTCCCCGGATATTGTTCTAAGAACGTAATCACCGGGTGTAAATAAATTTGTTGGAATGTTTAGCATCATTTTCTAGCTGTGTTTTTGAAGGTGGTGGTGAAGAGAAAATTTTGCATGATTTCAAGAATTAAGGCATTTTCATGGTTCGTGGGTTTTAAAGTAGATGTTGCAGTCTTTTGCTCCTATTTTGGATTATATAAATTATCCTTGGTTACACAAATTGTTTTTGAAATTTGTTGAGGTTGGTATAGAAATGTATATTTATATAAAGATCTGTGTGAGTAGAACAGCAAGGAAAAACCGAGAGTGGACTTAGAACAATTTGTTTTCTCAAAATCTTCCTATTTTTAAATTTATAAAATAAAGGAATATTCTTTTCTATTTACTGAGTAT